CTAGAATAGATTAATGAAAGGTAGTCATAAGAGATATGAATACAATTGGATCAATATTGCCATTGAAAATCACGTCGGTTTCATTTACTTAATGTGCCCGGTTTCTTTTATGGTTATAAAAATGCGTTCAATCAAGTTCGATTTTATTCTACTAGCACGAGCTAAATTTGTATTGTATTGATGATAATCAAGTACTCGTAAGGGAACTTTTTCTAAGAAATTTTTAACGGTCTACGTTATAATTGTTATAATTAAGGAAGAACGGTTAGCAACAAGACAAATTATTCTCAAATCAACACTAAACAAACTGTAAAAACTGAACAATTACTATGTAGTTGCTATTCACCATCACAGACTATACAGCTAAAGGCCATTGATGTCTCATCATGATTTTGGCACGGAAGGAACTGATTTCAAACTATCAGTAAACTAGATAGATCTATCTTAAACTACGGTAAAATTCCGGTAGTATATATATACAAAAGGGCAGATTTCCTTTCTAGCTTATCTTTTTCTATATTACTTGCTATTGGCTTATAATCAGGTCAGAATTGCTATGACTTTCCCTTTCTTTTGTATTGATCAGATTGGTATTAGTATGGGTAAAAGAAGCTACAGTACCGCTACAATACTTTAACAACAATACTTCTCCAATAACTGGAAAATGGAGGAGAGTAAATTCTTGAAAGTTTCTTAATGAAGGAGTAAATGGATTTAAAATTTTGGAGTATTTCGTGAGTTAGCTATTTAAAACTGCGTTCTTGTCTACTTTTATTTTGATCACAAATAAGAAAGAAAGAAAATTAAATATGAATATTAAATGTAAAATTTTCTCTGGAAGATGTTATACGGTAAAGCTATGACAGTTTTTGTTACTTAATTACCCATATGAAGGAATCTAGTCAATGGATAATGAAAGAGGTGTTTCAAAGCAACTAATGACTATTACCTTAGAAAATCATTGTTTTAGGTCGTTGCAGAATGGAATAATATGTTAAATTTCATCTAAACTGATAATAGTTCTATTCATCACTCTCATATTGTACTCGATATAATAAATACGGGTATACGAAATGCGACGATTTTTAACTTGATATTAATAATTGCTACATTGATTTCATTTATCTGCGCCGTCTTATGCTTGATGTAAATGTCGCAGTATTATCTTATTATTTAATAGTCAAGTTATCTTGAACTCTAACAGCAATAATAAGCGAAACATAGACAACATTTCCGTTCTACTATACTTATACTGTATTTAACCTGATATTGCTTCTGTTGTTCTTATTGTATAATTTTAACCAGATGATCCAGCCATCTTAAATTTTATTAATAAAATATATATAATTAAAGATATGAGAATAAATAAGATTTCCCCTCCATACCGCACAATATGCCAAATTCATAGCACCTATTTAATACTCCAACCAAACAGCCGAGCTCCCTTTAAAACTTGCGAACTTGAAAAGAAATAATCAAGCTTCTTTTAGGTAACACTCTATAAATTAAAATCTACGAAATTATTACTAGTAGTAAAATAACCAAGTCATCTTGGATTTTATTAATAATTAATTAATAAAATAAGGGAGAGTGGGCATGCAATGACCGAGTAATAGTCTTTTACTATTACTGCACGTTAGATTGGTACTTTATAACGATATACTGGCAATCGAGCAAGAACCGTACTAGCCATATTATCACACAAACTAGATAATGGACCAAACCATTTGAAATTTTCACCGTTAACTTTTCAATAATTATCCGTTAAAAAAGGTAATTGGATATAGACAAAATATCTATGATTTCTTAATATTTCTTCCATCAATTGGTAAGAATAATTTTTTATTTTTTATCACGTATTTAGGAGTGATAGTGTTGATTATGTTAATTAATAATTCATTGAAATTAGTGTTGAAAAATTTTTCAATTTAATTATCTTGTACCATTGTTCGGGGAAAGCCTATCAGTATGAATTAATTGATTGATCTCCAATAAATTTATAACACTACTGGACTCACGTCACTGATATTAAAGAATTCATACTTGGAAATTTACAATAGACCTACAGAAGAGTTATTTTATTATTGGCCTCGTACATTAATAATTCAATTTCACTGCATGCTATAGGCATAAGCTACAGTACCTAGATCATGGTTATTCCTTCATGCATGTAATTAGGATGGCATAATTTAGGAAGTGCGTCAAAGTATAGAACATAATACCTAGGAAATTTTGTACTTCTTGGTGAATCTATGGTATGATTGGGATGCAGCAGCTTTTATTCTCCTAAAGGCATGATAAAGCACAAAAATGACTTCAGTTATTTCAGTAAGACAGTAGGCGTATTATCCTGCACAGGCTATTGTACAGATCTTTACTGTGCCATTTTGAACCTTTGACATGAAGTATACTCTTACTTCTGTAGTTTAGTGATATAGGCTCGAAAAGGCTTTCAGACGATAGAGGCTTCTATTTTGTATTAAAACAATATATAGATAGCCAATTTGAACTGTCTATCACTTTATCTAAGATTTCTCTGTTGGTGTTTCAATTGAATAAAGTGATAAAATCTTTGAAAAATGATAACCTTGAGGATTGACTTTCAAAATAGAATCTATTCTTTAGTATAGTATTGAAATAAATTAGCTTTAAATTACAAGTTTTGATAGGCGCAAAATTGTGTATTGAATAACCATCGATCTTACATCAATTTAGCAAAGATAATTAGCGTAAACAAAAACCTTTCTTTTCATGGATTACCATTGGGATTTTTGTATTTAAACTTCAAAATACGACTAAGTAGCGTTTCATTATTGGCTGTGGTATAGATAGAGACTGTTGTTGCAATGTTTAACGTAATCTCGTCCATTAACCCAATGAAATTATATGAAATTCATTCTAATTGCGATAAAACTGCTAGCAATAAACAAAAATATCCCTGCAGCTACAGTAATTTATTGTAAGTGATTGAATTCAGGATACCCCTATCTTGACTAAATGAAGTTATCTCAATCGTATAACCTTTTTCAATTTCCTTTCCATACATATATAAAGCAATAATCGAAAATTGCAGTCATGCATGCCTCTGTACATACATAATAAAGATGTTAATTATAATCGTGATTTTAAAATTTATTCAAACGCCTAAATAAAATCGTTGCTACTTTGCAAAAAAGATTTTTTCATTATATACGCGTAAATATTTCATGGATCTAAGGTCTCTCTCTACCCAATACAAAGGTATACGATGTTGTTAAAAGAAGTGACATATTTGGTTATAGATTCTCACCTATGACGAAGTATTTGCGTTACAATAAATGATCTCTATCGGCATGGAAATATTAGAAATGTGTTAGAACTACAATGAAATTTTGATTTCGTAGCCTTATGAAAAATAAAACCTCAATAACGTCTTGTAAGCGATTGGTACTACCGGTAACTTTTCTACCTTGTGATAGCAGCTACGCTGCTAAACAATTTGAAGCTGCTGATTAGAGTAAACTAATTTACAGTTAGTTAGTTAATTTAAAATAGGCAATTTGTGACATGTAATTTTTATTCTTATTCTACAACTATTATTTTGTCTTTAGCAATATATTGTAGCTAGAAATAACAGTATTTTTTTTCGAGAATTTTTCTATTAGTTCAGCTGTTAATAATTAATGGCGATAAGATGATGATGTCTTGAAAATGGCAATGAGCTATCTGCTACGCTGTTACAACTATTTCAAACTATATTAAAATTTAAGAAAAATGCCAAGAGTTGAAAATGAAAAATAGCTTAGTACGGCATGTTTTTAATTATATCTTCGTCAAACTCAAGAAAGAAAGACTATTCCGAATCGAAACTAATTAAGGTCTAGTTTATTTCTACTGTGTGACATAGAATAGCATAAAATTTCATTTCAAACACAAGCAATAAGTAGTACCAGAGCAAAATTATAGATAGTCAATATTACAGAAAATTTAGCTATGGAAAATGAATGATTTTTTTCTTGTCAATGAAGCATAAAATTTTGTCTTTTTATAATTATTTGCGTAGACTTTATGGTTTACCATTGATTAATTAATACTGATCTTCACAATTGAAAACTTATCTAAATTTTATTTTCGCTGACTTAATTAATTAAGTTTATTAATGTTGGTAAGTACCGAATTTCTATCAGTTTAAATTGAAAAGGTTATTGAAAAATATTAATCAACAAAACTAAATGGGGCGTAGTAGGAAAAGTAGAATATTATGAACAAAATGACATTAATGAAGGTGGAAAAAGCAAGCGAAGAAAAAATGGTATATGTTACATAAATATATACAGTGCACCCATACATTTCAAGTAATTTAAAAGTATCAACTTCGTTGATTATGATAAAATTTCGTGATTACTGCGATTATCTACGACTTTGAAATAAATAGAAATCGCAGTTAACTTTGAAATGTTCATCAAAATTATGGTCAGAAAATACAATAGCAGTAGAAATTACAACACATCTTATTCAATTCGGATGAACAAAATTGAATTAAAACGAAAGATCCCAAGAAGCTTAAGCTTTTTCAAATTCAAATTTTCTAGATTTATAGAAACTTTACTCAAAAGAAATGGTTTAGGAAGAGCGGATAGTATACTACTACCAAGTAAATTTTCCCTCTTGCAGTCATAGCTATCATAGCGGCCATACTAGATCAAAGTCACATCAGTGATAATTTCGTTAGCAGGCTGGCTTGCGATCTATCTACTTCGATGGTGATGAATAGTAGGTATTTATTCCCAAGTTGACGAATCTTTCTATAAAGGTATTCATGAACATATAGACGAACCCTACTTCTGTCTACATTTAAATTAATATTAAATAGAAGATTTTTTATAGTAGAGTGGTTCTTTATCCTCATTCATCTCCGTTTAATCACTTTAAGACATACACAAATGGCTGTATAGTGTACATTGGGCAATGATTCGATTATAAAATGAAATATTTCTTCTAGTAGAATAGTTTGCTATTCTTTATATTGTTGTACTGTTGGATTCACGATACATATTGCTTGCTTCACATAGCACTTGGCTTGCAGTAGGTCTATCGTCGGGCTTGATCATAATAGCTTTATCAACTAATTGACGCAAATTAAGTGAATACAACTGTGGCTCTAATGGTCGATAGTCGCCATTTTCGATTTTTTCACATAATTGTACCAATGTTAATTTGACACCAAAAAATGGCGAACGTAATGCTGCTAATTCATATAATAGGCAACCCAATGACCAAATATCTGATTTAAAATCATAATCACGTTGTGCTACACGCTCTGGTGACATATAATACGGTGTACCAACCCATGACGATGCTGCTGCTGTGCCAGAACCCAAAGCACGACCCAATCCAAAATCTCCCAATTTAACAACTCCTTTACCAGTGACATAGATATTAGATGGTTTAATATCGCGATGCATGATACGCCGATCATGTAAATAACAAACTGCACTAGCAACAGGATAGAAATATTTCCATGTTGTACGTTCTGGTATACGAATTTTCTTTTCACGAAATACCTTAATCATGCATTCTAAATCGCCAGCATCAGCAAGCTCACAAATAATAAGTAAGACACAATCATCGATTAAAAATGAAGCAAAATAACGTATAATGTTATGATGATGGCAAGACTTAAGTAGTTTAACTTCTAGCATGTACTTTTGGCAAACAACAGGATCAGTATAATCAGGAATGATGACTTTCTTCACGGCATAAATACTATTATCGATTGTACATTTAGCTTGATAAACGCTACTAAAGCGTCCTTTACCAATTTTACGCTTTAATTTAAAATTTTTAAATGTTTGAAATTTTTTCTCATCTTCTGCTTCTTGAAGTTTATCCTTAGTCATTTCCATACCTTGATATTGGAAAGGAAGAGTTTTGATTGTTTAGATGCAGGTGGCAATTGTGGTATGGTGTGAAATAATACGCTTGCTTTAACTTGATACAGCACAAATCTGATATCGGTAAATGTCGCTATGCCCGTAAATGGAATTATGAATGAATCCAAATAGTCAAAATGTTAAAATGTTGATGTTACTATCTCAAGTTCAATAAGATGGTAAACAATTTGCACCCTGGTCTTCCTCTATAAGTATCGCTCTAATTGAATGAATTGGGTCTCGCCAACTGGTTATGATAATAACGCTTTTCTAATCCAAACGTAAAAATAAGTCAAAGTTTAAAGCCTTGGCAACTGCGATTGAGTCTTTATTACAACTGTCCAGTTAGTTAAAGTAACAGTTTAGTAATGTCTCTTTCTTAATATAGTCGTTAAAATTGTAAAAATAGAACAAGCATTCTTCTTTTAGAATGATTGGAGAAATTGTACTCATTAATCGATCCAATGCGACCTAGGCTACTGTAATTATCTAATTCTGTTTCATACCATATATTTATATATATACGTGTCCTTCACTACATGAATGTATATACAGTATAGTTCATATTATGAGATCCAGTTCCAACCAAAGCGGTAAACAAAAAATTGAAAAATGTAATAGCAAACAATGGAAAAATTGATTTGTCTAGCATTCAATAATTGTTTTCGGCGAACAGGATAATAGGTTAGTTGTAGTATTTTATCAAAGTGAAGTTCTCGATAGACGTAATATTATCCTATTTTTATGAACATCATTTCCATTGAATGATACGATCTATAAAAAAAGAATGATGATAACTACGGTAAATATTAGACAATAATAATATTATTAAACGACAACAGTCACCTTTAAAATTAAGTATCCAAGTACCTACCCAATTGGTCACAAGCTATCTAAATATCAAGATATTTATTCATTGATATTTTACCATCATTACAATTTTTTAGACCATAATTTACAGCCTGAAGAACATGGTTGTAAATGGCTTTGGTCATTCCTAAGGATGAGATTTGTTGTGTTATGCCATTCTTGTTTCAAATCAAATTATAAAATTAAACTCAAAGATTTGTAGGAACCACCTATCTTATTTGAATATAGTTTTATTGATTTCATTAATTTCTTTATTTCTCTCCCTGCTATACATAGTATCAGCTATTTAAAGTAATCCAAGATTGTGTGCTATCGTCGAAAACTACCTTTATACAATAAATGGAAGCAATTCTTATTAATAAAGATCTCCTTTTTGTCTCATAACAAAGGATCTTTCTTGACATTGCTATTGATATAGTGCGTAGCTATAAGTTATTATATTTTATTATATTATCAACAATGGAACGTATGATCAAGGAATATCCATCTTAAAATATTATTTAATAATGACTAATTTCATTCTTAGAATGATATCTCAAGCTTCTGCGTGCTACTTCAGAGCGATAATTAATTAACTGATGTAGACTACAATAACAGATCAGCTCAGGGCAATTGCGGCCTCAGTACTAGAAATATGCAATAGGCCGTCGTAATATAAATATTGACTTCATTGGTATTTTATACCATTTAATATTAGCACTACTATATAGTAGTTTTGATCGTTACGTACGATCAGAACACATCTGATAAAATCGGCAGCATTTTATAGATTAAGTAAGATTGGGATCGATAGATCTATAAGAAGCGCTAATCTACCGTCAATTTTGACAGTTCATAATGGAAATGAATGCTTCTATTTGCCATATACGGTGTTGCTATAACTTCACTTATAAAATTGACGAAACTTGTATTTAATCTATACATGTATATAGATATATTCTAATATGATAAAGTATGAAATTACGTAGCATAGTATAAAAATGAGAATAGATATCACAACATAATAAATCAAACATATGGCTACAAAGTTCAGAGACAGCTCGCATTATCACATCTACGTGTGTACTCTTCGTAATACAAAGGTTTGATAGTACTGGTTCGAAGTTAATGCTACGATAAATGTTAAATATATAAAATTGTTGATTTCACCTTAAAATACTTGCTAACTATTTTTACTATTAAAAACAAGTTTGATTCATTACCTAATCAGTAACATCGGCGGTAATTCGGTGTATATGCACAAATAAAAAAGTAAACAATTATTTTTACCTTTATTGTAAACTTTAATAGCGAACAAATGTCATTAACCTTTTATCTATACACATTTTATGTTAATAAGTTACGCAAATAGCCTGTAGATAATATTCTTAGCCCTAATATAATTGAAGTCTTATTCCAATTACTCTCGAAATTAATAGAATTATATTGTTTCAGTAAGTCATCAATGTTTACGAGTTATACTTGTACTGCAAAATCATTCATATGTTTACTGTACCTTATCATATTTTATCTAACAGCCATATTCACATTTGAAAAAGTTGGTGATATGCATTTTACATCTTAAAAATGGTATACTTTCAAAGAAATTGGAATGATTTTCAGGGAAAGTCACTTTAAAATACTACTGTTATGAAATCACTTTTAAGAGAAAATTACTTCACGTAAAAATAATATTAAGAAAAACAACCCGAGTTTCATATTAATATCGCTTCAGGGTATAATTAATTTGCTATTGATGTTGTTATTATCATTTTCTGGACTTTTTATTTTGAATTTTATGGCTGTCAAGGGAGGATTACATGATTTTCCTTGAGATTTATAAGGTAGGAATAAATTCTTAGAAAACGTACATAGGTATCTATACAAGGATATTTTTATTAAAAATTTACGACCAGCTTCATAATGTTTTTAGACAGTCGAGATAACTATGACTTAACTTATCTATGAATACTTGAATAGCCATTAGCGATAATTTTATAATGCTATAAGGTGAGTATAAATGATTTGTATTACTAAAAAATGCCGAATTTGACCGTTGTGATGGTAATTAATGGCATGTTATTCTTGGAAAAGTATTAATCAAGTCGGTATCCTCTTTTGTTTTCAACCAATATTCTTTGAGGATCTTTTATACAATTATTTACACGAAGTATTACTTGATTGATTTGTTATAGGCTCCATGAAGCCCAAAATTGCTTTTAATTACATATAAGAGGATAAGTCAACTATATTTGGTAGCATAGCCTATAAATAGCAAAGTGATCTAAAATTTTTCAATCTTCAATTATATAATTATCTGATATTGTAGTAAATACAGGAAATGTCAAAAATTTTATAATTCATATAATTAAATGTTGTCGATGATATTTTTAATGGAAAGAATGGACTATTTTATTTATTGCTACTTCTTTTCAGAATGTACGTATATTGTTATCTTGATATGATAAGAAAAATTAAATAACAATCGTGGATATTAACTTAATGGCACTAATATAAAGAAGGAATTAATACAAGATTTAGAACAGATGTTCACTTAGTAGTCATCGAAAAGAATTTCTTACGTGTGCATAATATTTTCAACTAAGCTATGGTGAATATTTGACAACCTTTAATATTTCGTTTTGATTTGTGTCCCATGACGATTGAAATTGATATCTAGTAATTGTATTTATATCATTAATTAATAATTTTATTGTTCATAAAAGTAGAAAGGGTCGTTTTTTCATGTATTTATATTTATAGTATGACTCTGTCTATCATCGCTTTGATATACAGTAACACATATGAAATATGCTAACTGATAATTTAGATTCAAAAATGTTCAAATTAAATATGATCTGGTACACTTTGTTATCATAGCTAATTGTTTAATAGCATGTATTTTCGGGGTTCTCTAGAAGAAAATAAGAGTAATATCCCGTCATCCAAATCAATTCATCAGTTTCATCAATTACCACAGTATCTTACAAATGACGACTTAGGCAAATAATTTTATATTCAGTGGCATGTTTACTCTTATTCAATAAATGATATGAAGATGACATAACATTACATAGAAGCCATGATCAACATGAATTAAAGCCTTGATTAAAACATTACGTATATTATTTGATACCCAAATAACTACTTATGCTAGATAATTGGAGTATACGTAAATTACTCCTTTTAAGAAAAGATGCTACAACAAACATAAATTACTTTGCAAGCAAATAACTGATTCTTATTTTTATTGCCAACCAAATAAATATATAAGCATATCAATCATAGATTTTTTGAATAATATCTTCTTATTATTCAATAGACAAATTATATCGATGCCACGGAAATTTTCTTTCATTCAAGCTATAACTAATCATATGCTTCAGAACTATCTTGCTACTCGAATTAGGAACTTGAATTTACGCTAAAAAATTAGGTCCTGATAGGTATCATACTCTATTCTGCAGTTTAGCTATACGAGCATGTACGTAAATTATTTTTATTCAGAATATCTATGAATTAAAATTAAATACCGTCACATTTTAATAGATGTAACATTCAACATCAATACTTTATCACAATTTGAAAATTTGTTTATGTGTGCTAGTATCAGCATATTTTTCTTTGATTTGCATTACTATCGCTTCGTGGAAGTTAATCGGATACGGACTACTGAAAGGAAATGCAGTCTACTCAGTAGTTATCGTTATTTATAGCTTTGACAGTAAAACACTTGGTAATCAATTTTAAAAGAATCCTTAGTCTAGTAGCAGTAGTAGCAACAGATGAATTAGCATTGATTCTTTGTATTTTGGTCATTTACTAACAATTGACAGTCTAATGCAAATGAATTTCATGATGCTAAAATGCTTGATAGCTACTTTATTGTTGACTACGTTTGGAATTATCCTAACCTATCGTTTGCTTTCTAACATTTATGTATTCCTATATTAATCAAATGGATACACATTTTTACAATAAATCAATGCAACTTGATCACAAATAAGCCGTGAACTAATTGCTACTGAAAATTTACTTGACTCGGTGACTTGTTCACTAATTTCGTCTTCGCTATTAGTTGATATGACTAAAAGATCGCTAAGTAGTAATTACCTTAT